AACTGTGGTCAACCATGTGGGAGTCCAGCACCCCTAACCACCATGCCACCTGCCAGCCCCACTTTTATCACATTTTTATAATGCATAGAATTTTGGATTTTTTTAAAGAATTTTTTTCATTATTTTAACTTTATTTATTTTAATCTGACAGATAGGGACAGAGTGAGAGAGAGAAACTGAGAAAGCAAGCCGCCAGGTCTGGGACTCAAACTGCAGTTGGCTATGTGGGAGTCCAGAACCTTAACCATCACACCACCTGCTGGCCCCTAGAATTTTCTTCTTATCCCAAAACTTCTGAATTAACCACTTTCAAATGCATTACTTAAAGGTATTAAATAATTAAGGTTTTCATGCTTACTTTTAATGTGCAACTTGATATTCCAGGAGTGTCACTTAAGTCTGTCTGAAAACGAAACATTAACAGAGATAAGAAAAAAATATTTCTATTTTGCTGGTAAAGTTACTGGAAAGATCATCTAGTGAGTAATAATTTACTTTGAAAGGTAATTTATTATTTACTAAGCTTTTTACACCATTCATGGTATCTTCACTTCAGTAACAAAGGACAACATACACCACTGAGAACTATCTGTGGCTTAAGATACATTCTCACCTTTCTTGTAAGGAAACTAGAGAGCCTTATGGTCATTAATCCAGTAATTCCACTATCATATTTGAAGATGTTCAAAGGGAGGTGAAACGCTTATTTACTTAAATATTTGTGCCAGTAGTTCAAACAGACTTTTAAAGAAAACCCAATATAAAACTCATTATACTGAGTGACTAAACCTGAATCAAAGACACAGAAATTAAGTCTGGAGTTGGCACCATAGCCTAGTTGTTAAGAGAGCTGGACCCCACATGGCCAACAGTGAAATTTGAATACAGACCCTGGCAGCTTGAAAAACATACTGGGCACAGGCCAGCAGATAGCATAGCAGTTAGGTCGCTGGACTCCCACATGGCCAACCATGGTTTGAGTCCCAGACCCAGCAGCTTGAAAATCACAGCAGGTGCATGTGTGTGAGTACCCAAGACCCCAGGAGGAGAATGAAGAAGGGATTATAGCATGACCATGCCTCATTAGGGAGTGTTTTTTCCCCTCTCCCTCTGGTGAATACATGCACAAACCATCCAGCAAAAAAAAATTAAATAAATAAATAAGTCTGTAAAGCAAAGAAAACCATCATAAATTATTACTAGGGAAACCCCAGAAAAGTGGGGTCTAGTATCTGTGTTAAAGAAGAAGCAAGGTCAAGGCAAGTCCAGGTCAGGAGCGCCGGTAGAGGACCCTAGGACTGCAGTTCCTAAACAGTGCTTGAGGAGCCACAGGCCACAAAAGTGAACTCACACAAGCACTTTGGGATATTTCAGAATTTTGAGAGAGACATAGAAACACCTAGCTAACATTACCTGAATGTCTACAATTGGGTTGTTTGGACCTAGCTACTTAATACCTGGAACTATGAGAAAATTACTGAGATACCAAAGGCACTGTGAAGCAATGAAATGTGGGAGCTTCTGCCTTAGGGACATGCAAGTGTTCAAAGGACATAACCTGCTCAGAGTAGAATTAGAAAAGGTGCCCCAAAGTGCTCTAGCTTCTGCATACCTAGCTATTCATGGTGGGGCTTTTTGCTTCACTTGACCTGGCTCTAAATAATCTTTATACCCTCTTTCAAATTATTGCAGCATTCTCTTAAAATCAGTGAATCTGGGGCCAGCATGTGGCATAGTGGGTAAGGCACGGGACTCCCATAATGGCCAATTGCAGTTCAAGTCCCAGACCCGGCAGCTTCAGACTCATGCTGGGTGTGTGTGCATGTATGCCCAAAATCCTGAGAAGAGAATAGAGGAGCAGGGATTGTGGCAAGGCCATTTCCGCCTGGAGGGTGATTTCTCACTTTCTCTCTCTCTTTCTCTGTCTCTCTGGTGAGCACATGCACCCTCTAGCAAAAAACTCTCTTAAAAAAAAAAAAGTCAGTGAACCTTGCTTTTAAATTGGTGAACTACATTCTTACTTAATAATAAAAATAAAATCATGATTTTCAATCTTGGTTTGGGGATCAAACAAACTTAACAAAAAAATGGAACTCTAACATGGATGACCCTTGAAAACATTATGCTAAATGGAATAAGCCAGACATAAAAGGACAAATATTATATGAGTTAACCAGAATAGTCTAATACATAGACAGAAAGAACAGTAAAGCTTACAGGGAATTAGGATTAGGAGTTATGGAGACTTACTATTTAATAAGCATAGAGTTTCTTTTTTTTTTTTTTTTTTGCTATAGGGCACCTGCGCTCGCCAGAAAGACAGAGAGAGACAGAGAGACAGAAGGCAAGAAATCACCCCCCAGGGGGAATGGCCATGCCACAGTCCCTTCTCCTCCATTCTCCTCTCGGGGTCTTGGGCATGCACGCACATGCGCCCAGCATGAGTTTAAGCCACCGGATCTGGGACATGGGAGTTCAGCGACATAGCCATTACACTAACTGCTGATCCCAATAAGCATAGAGTTTCTATTTGGAGTAATGAAACTGTTCCAGAGATGGTAGTGGGGACAGTAGCAGAGCAGTGCAAATGTACTTAATGCCACTGAATTAATGCACTTAAAAATGGTAAACTTGGCCCAGTCAGTGGTGCATGCTGCTAAAGTGTTGTATACATGGGAGTGACAGAGAGAGACAGAAAGCAAAAAATCACCCCCCAGAGGGGATGGCTACATGGGAGTCCAGCAACGTAGCCATTACACTATCTGCTGGTCTTGACTCAATTATATTTTTATCTACAAAATACACATGTATTTGAGAACTCTCCTTAAGATGATGTAAGATGTATATAAAGCCATTTCTCCATATGTCTTTACATAGATAAAGACAGAGATACGGTTATACACATTGACTATCTCCAGCTTATCTGTTACAGACCTGGGGAAGGCTGGGGGAAGTAGAGATGATAAGGCACGGTGTTTTCAGTCAAGCTTAAAAGACATGGTAGTTGAGCCAGCAGGTAGCACGGTGGTTATGACACGGAATCCCACATGACCAGCTGGGCAACTGGAGTCCCAGACCTGGTGGCTAGAAAATTATGCTGGGGGTAGGGTATCTCCAGCTTATCTGTTACAGACCTGGGGAAGGCTGGGGGAAGTAGAGATGATAAGGCACGGTGTTTTCAGTCAAGCTTAAAAGACATGGTAGTTGAGCCAGCAGGTAGCACGGTGGTTATGACACGGAATCCCACATGACCAGCTGGGCAACTGGAGTCCCAGACCTGGTGGCTAGAAAATTATGCTGGGGGTGGGGGGCAGCAAGTGATGTGGTGGTTAAGGGCACTGGACTCCCACATGGCCAGCCGTGGTTTGAGTCCTGGACCGGACATCTTGCTTTCTCACTTTCTCTCTCACTCTGTCTCTCTCTGGTTAAATTTAAATAAATAAATAACGTTAAATAATTCTTTAAAAAAAAAAAAAAAAAGAAAGAAAAAAGAAAATTATGCTGGGCATGTGTGCCCAAAGTCTCAAGAGGAGAATGGAGAAGGGATTATGGCATGGCCATTTCCCAGGGGGTAATTTCTCACTTTCCCTCTCTCTCTGTATGGCTCTGTTTCTCTCCTATGAGGGAACATGCCCTATGGCAAAAATCTTTTCAAAAAAAGATGTAGTAGAGGGACCAGCAGTTAGCGTAATGGCTATGTCGCTGGACTCCCATGTAGTCAACCACAGTTCCGAGTCCCAGACCCAGTGGTTTAAACTCATACCAGGCATGTGTGCATGCATGCCTGGGATTCTAAGAGGAGAATGGAAGAGAAGGGATTGTGGCATGGTCATCCCCCCTGGAGGGTGATTTCTAGCTTTCTGTCTCTCTGTCTCTGACTTTCTGGTGAACGCACCTCTCCAAAAAAAAAAAAAATGTAGTAGATAAAGCTGGAACTTAAGAGTGAGCAAAAATATGCAGTTTCAATGTTTGGCCTGAAAGGTCGGTCTTACAACTTGTACTACTGTATTTTCTTCCTCACACATTTGACACATTTCCCTCCCAGGTGCCAGTCCCAGAAGAGGTAGACATTTGTGGGCGCCATTGTTTTATCAAAGCTTCACGACCCCATTGGCCATTTAGTATTTGCTCTCTAGCTTTAGCAAAAAGTTTTAACCACATCAAATTCCTTTGTCAGGTGAAATGTGAACCTTTTGAAACTGAAGTAAGTGAGCTTACAACACAAGTTCCCAATGTAGAGAAGGTCATCTGTATTTGTGGAGGTTTCTAAAATGAAGCTGTCCAGAATGATTCCCTTGCAGAATGTGGAAATAACTAAGTAGTCTACTCCTAAATTCCAACAACAGGTAGAAAACTAGGTGGATATTGGGACCAGCAGTTAGCATAATGGCTATGTCACTGGATTCCCATGTAGCCGACCGCGGTTTGAGTCCCGGACCCAGTGGCTTAAACTCACGCCGGGCGCGTGCATGCGTGCCCAAGATCCTGAGAGGAGAATGGAGAAGGGATTGCTGCGTGGCCATTCCCCTGGGGAGTGACTTCTCTCTTGTCTCTGTCTCTGTCTCTCTGGCAAGCGTATACGCCCTGTAGCAAAAACCTCTCCCCAAAAAAGAAAACTAGGTGAGTGTGTGTTCCTGTTCTTCGTGTTCCAGCTGCCTTCCTACCCACGCCTAGAGAATGGGCAAACTACGTGTGGAAAACAATTCTCTCTTCCAGTTCCACTCCAAAGCAACTGCCCCTTACCCAGGCTTTCTCTGAGCCGGAACCAGGTCAGCAGAGAACTTAGGAGGGGGGCTCCTCAATCAATTCCTGCAGCTTCCAGAATCCTTCTCACTGCCCCTGGACCACCCAGGAGAGATCCCAACAACTGCCACTCAGCACCTCTTTTTCCTTCCCTGTAACCTAGATACGCGATCCTACAGCCCCGCCCTCCTATGTGACCAATGGTGGGCTGCTCAGTGAGCCGGATGAGGCGGGCCCAGGTGGGCATGGAGGACAAATCACTGGCCTCAAACTGCAGGCCCGGAAGCGGAAGAGCCCAGAGCCTGGTTTGGCCTTGGGATTCGCCACAGGGTACGTCCGGTGTGAGCTAGTGAGGAAATCCTGGGGCCTGTGGAGTAGCAGAAGAAGAGCGCCGGAGAAGAGCGCCTGCAAGCGCAGGAGGGAGGAAGCTGGGTGCCCAGAGCAAAGAGCGAGCGGACAGGCAGCTGCTGGGCGAGCAGGACTGTGCAGGGTCCCTGGAGGCTGGACCTGCTGGGCGCTGCTGTCCTTCAGGCCAGGGTGCGCTGGGAGCTCGGGCGATCCCCAGGTGAGGGCAGCGGCTCCGCCTGGGGATTCCACCTCGATAGAACTGGGCAGATGCCGAGCGGGGAAGGATGCTGTCCCCGCTGCTCCCCAGTAGCATCCTGAACAGTTGCAGCAGCAGAAAACACAGCTGGAGCTGTCGGTAAAGTCGCCCAACACCTTTCTCCGTAGTGTTCGAGTTGACAAAGCCAGAGAACAGAGCTCTGCATCCGAATCTCCTTCGAGCTCTTTTTCCACCTGAATAGGAGCGGATTTATGGGAAAACATGCCCTGCGCTCTTTCTTGGAGGAACTGGAGACAGTGGATTCGCCCCTTAGCGGTGGTCCTCTACCTGGTGTCCATAGCGGTTGCGGTTCCCCTGTGTGTGTGGGAACTGCAGAAACTGGAGGTAAGAGGGTTCTGCTCCAGCGGCTTCTACCCTCAGGCTGGAGGAGAGACGCCCCTCCCCTATTTCTGCCCTAGGTACCCAGACCTGGTACCTGAAAACCATCTCAGGTACACGAGCCGGGTCTTAGGACATAACCCTGCCTGGTTTCTTATTCACGGTTCCTCAAAGCATGCTACAGATAGCGGTGGAGCCAGGTTGGAAAAATAGGATACATTCATATCTATGCTTACAAGCGTGCTGTTTTGCAAGTATTTATCCGTTCCCTAAAATTAAGGTAATAGTATTCCTGTTATTTGATCTGTTCAGATATTGGATTTAATCAGATCAACTAACCTATCTAAAAAAGTATGCATTGAATTTAATTAGCTTTTAGCTAGTTTCCTGAATTAAAGAATTTCTAGTTGATTTAACTTTGTTGTTTGTTTTTACTTTGGAAATCAGCTCTTAACCAACACAAGTTATGCAAAAAATTCCTGTGTGTGTGTGTGTTTTTCCCAGTTTGCCAGAGGATATGTGTGCTTAGCAGAGAGATAGCAAGAGGGAAGGAAAAGGGAGAGCAAGAATATACACACATGCCCCAAACCCCCGAATGGGGCATGGTCCCACTGCAGCCCCTTATCCTTCATTTCTCCCTTCTTTTGAGATTTTGGGCCCACATGTGCATGCTCACGCTTCTGGCGTGTTTTTCAAGCCATTTGGTCCAGGACTCCACCACTGGGACTCGAACCACCTTGCTCAACCCTGTGGGTTCCAGCTCACTGAACCACCAAGCTATGGGCTGGCCCCTCTTGGTATATTTTTTGATGTCATATTCTTATTGTGACATCAGTGAAGTACTACAAGCTGGGAGACCCCAAGGTAAATGCTTACCAAGATACATACTTTATAAAAATGGTTAAGTGAACTTTAAATTCAGAGTTCATAAAAACCAGAAAGTATTTTTACTGAGAAACACTTATTTTACAAGACCTATGGCAAGACCATGGATGTCTTATGTCCTTCTTTATTGTGTAGATAATTTTTATACAGATAAAATGTATTTTATCAATAATATGCATTTGTGTTCTGTATGTTAATTACTTTTTTCTCTTGACCTTCCTGTATGGCATAATCCATATAGTTATTTTTAATGACAGTGTAATATTCTATTATATTAAATATTTCCCATGTGTAAGCTATTAGTTTATTTCTATAACTTGTCTACCAACATTTGGGTATAAATATCTTAATACAAACAGGGTTCTCTTACATTGATGTATTTCCTTGGAATTTAGTATAGGAGCTACTTTTAAGATTAATAGCAGATGTAATATCAGCCCAGTTTCAACTGTAGTTTTTAAATGCCACCCGCTTTTAAGAAACATTTTAATCTGCAGTCTCCACTGCAACCCCCTGAGCCACATGTTCAGTGTGTCTTGACTACAACCTTCTCAACACACCAGCCAGAGTGTCCTGTTAAAGTAGAAGTCACCTATGTGTGTCTGCTTCAGTCCCTGCTGGTCAGTGTTCCTAACTATGGCCCACCAGGCCGACATAACCCGACACCGCTCCTGTCCATCCCCCTCTGACTTTCCTCAAGTCCTGGGCTTCCTTCTGCCACACCGCCATTGCTACAACATGCATGGCATGCTTTCTTCTTAGATCTTTTGCGCTAAAAGTTCCAACTTAGAATGTTCTTTCCCCAGACATTACTCTCCTTCCTCTGTATCCTCTGGTCTTTACCCAGTGTTACCAGACTACTCTATTTAAAGTTACAAGTTCCTCCTCCTCCTCACTTCGTATTCCCTTCCCTGCTTTTATCTTCACAGAGCTTAACCACCATCCACCGTAGTATCTAGTTAACTTCGTTTTCTCTCCACCTCTTTCTGCACAAATGACTGAAAGTTCAGCCATCACCGATGTTGTTTCTTTGATGAATCGGGCTCTGTACACTACCTGGTGAGAGGTGTGAACATGACACCTACGTAGGGAATGAGTAGTGGAGGTCAGTGCAACCAGCAACAAAAATCAATGAGATGAAATAGTACAAAATGCTATGGAGGGGATTTTAAAAGGCCTACCATGTTAGCAGGCAGGGGAATCTTCTTGCACAACTTCAAAAGACCATTCCACCAGCTATGGAAAATCAGCTGGCGGTGAAGGGAAGTTAGAAAGCTCTTTACAGTAGTTGAGAAGTATTGGGCACCTGGGTTATGATTAATGGTCCTGATCAGGGTGGCAAAAAATGGAGATGCAAAAACGGAACCTTAAGAATCTCTGGGAATGGACCAATAGGACGTGGCAGTAGATTGGACTGGAAGGAGAGACTGAGAGAGAAAGGGAGAAATCAAAGGTGATTCTGAGATTTTTTTGACTTGAACAACAATATAATAGTTGTGTCAGTTACTAAAATAGAAAACTGAGGGTTAGGGACAGGTTTGAGAGAATTTGAGTTCTGTTATGGACATCAGTTTAATGAAAGACATTCAGAAGGGCATGTCAAATCTGTAGCTGGAAATTCAAGTCTAGAGCTTAAAAAAAGGTTTGATCTCTGGATATAAATGCCCTATCTTTGCTCAGGCTGCCATAAGAAAAATACCATATAGGGACCAGCAGTTAGCGTAATGGCTACTTCGCTGGACTCCCACGTAGTCAACCACAGTTTACATCCTGGAGCCGGTGGCTTAAAACTCACACTGTGTGCATGTGTGTGCGTGCCCAAGATCCCGAGAGGAGAACTGAGGAGAAGGGATTGCAGTGTGGCCATCCCCCCTAGGGGGTGATTTCTTGCTTTCTGTCTCTCTGTCTCTCTCTGTCTGTCTGGTGAGCGCACATGCCCTATAGCAAAAACCTCTCCGAAAAAAAAAAGAAAAGAAAAATACCATATAGACTGAGTGGCTTAAACTATAGGAAATTATTTTCTCACTGTATGGAAACAGTTTGTGAGTCCAGCTGTTTTGCGTGGGTGTAAAAAGTGAAGCAGATAAATGGCTGAAATGTCAAACTGCTAAGGGCTTTATATCCAGTATCCTTATTGTTCACTTCATCATCATCCACTAAACGAATTTATGTATCTAAAATCCTTAACAGTGTGCCTAACTCATGGCAGATCCCCAACAAGCCCTAATTACTGCTGCTATTGTTTTTAAAATATCATCGTCATTATTGTATTGACACTGCAGTTCTTTTTCTTGTACAGTAGCATATCAGATGGAATTCAACTTTTAATGGAAAACCTAAGGCAAGATTACATGCACCTACTTGAGCCCAAAATGCATTTTGACTTATGTTTAGATATATTTTGTCTGAAAGATACATGTCTTTTTTTTCCTTAAGTTTTTTGTTTTGTTTTAATTTTTTTTTTTTTTTTTTAGGTTTTTGCCATAGGGTGCACATGCTCCCCAGAGAGAAACAGAGAGGGAAAGTGAGAGATCACCACCCAGAGGATCCCCTAGGGATCTGGCACACATGCACGCACCCAGCGTGAGTTTCAAGCTACCAGGTCCAGGACTCAAACCGGCCACATGGGATCCAGCACCTTAATATCCATGCTACCTGCTGGCCTGAAACATACATATCTTTAAACAGTAGAATCACAATACTCACCTGTGGGAAGTATTAAAAACTGACTGTAGAAATGAGAAGTTCATGTAGCTCATCCCAAGGCAGGGCATATGCTCATTTACTGCGATGACAGGACAACTGCCTGTGCTATTTGAACTCTCTCTCACTCTCTTGTTTGGCTTGAGTATGTGTAATTTGAGTCAGGTAGGTTAGATGCACACGTCGGCATGCTGTGCTGGGGGTTTTTACCCTGCTTACTCAAGTCTCATGCTCCAAGGAACAACTCTGTCATTTCTGCTCTTCTCACTCAGGAGAATGGGACCAAGAACACATTCTTCTATTTATGTCTACTGTCTGTCTTGAAGCATTTGGCTGAGAGAGAGTTAACTTACTCTTGGATGCTTGTTATTAATGGTTTTTCTTTCTGCTCTTTTCTCAAATTACTCTAGAAAAAAATCTACTCTGCTGATCTCTCTTCTTATCTTGTGAACCAAAACACCCAACTCATGACTGATAAGTTGTGTTTTTTTGTTTGTTGGTTGGTTGGTTTCTGAGAGAGATTTTTGCTATAAAGGTATGTGTGCTTACCAGAAAGACAGAGAGAGAGAACATGAGAAATCACCCTCCAGGGGAGATGGTCACACCATAATCCCTTCTCCATTCTCCTCTCAGGATTTTGGGTGTGCACACACACACCCACATGAGTTTCAAGTCTCCGGGTCTGGGACCTAAACTGCTATCGGCCATGTGGGGTCCAGTGCCTTAACCACTACGCCATCTGCTGGCCCTGTGGCTAATAGTTTTTAAGAATAACGTTAGTGGTATCTTTATCTCAGTGTCTCTCAAATTTGGACAAATTATTTACAGATAAATATGAATTAAAGTAAGCATGACAATATCAGTAATTTCTAGATATACCTGGTGTTGGTTTATCCGTTACAATGTTACCTAAATACATAACGCATATAAGATAGCTTAAATTTCTTATGCAAGGAGGTTTTTATCTTCCTTTATGAGAGAAAAAGAGGGAGAGAGAAATGGAGAGAGACACGGGTACTCTTGACAAGGCCTCACTGGGTCACGGTCCTCCTTCCTCGGCCTCCCAATTAGGTACGATTATAGGTGTGTGCAGCCACCCCCGGTGTATATAGCTTGGTCTAGAAACCAAATCCACGCTTTCCTTGTGGCTTCCAGCCTCCCCAACAATGACACTACCTCTGCACCATAGCAGCTGTTTATAGCTTTGTATATAGCTCAGAAATCAAAACAACTATAAAACCAGTCATTCAAACTAGGGACATTAATGTGGGTAGATGATGGGCTTTATGCAAACAAATTAGCACTTGCGATGTAAAAATCATACTAACTCTGTGATGAAGGAATTTTTGAATGTGGCATGACTAATGACTGAGTTCTCCAGTCACTTGTTTTATGATCGTTTAAAAAGAACTTTCTATCTTACAGCACACACTGAGGACACTCAGTTACTCATCTGTTCGGACCTTAGTGTGGCAGTGCCCATCAATGAGGAGGGTTAAAAGACATAAGGCATTTGGGACCAGCAGTTGGCATAATGGCTACGTTGCTGGACTCCCGTATAGTAGACTGAGGTTGGAGTCCCGGACCGAGTGGTTTAAACTCACACCAGGCTCATGTGCATGCGTGCCCAAGATCCCGAGAGGAGAATGGAGGAGAAGGGGTTGAGGGTGGCCATCCGCCCTGGGTGGGGGGGGATTTCTTGCTTTCTGTCTCTCTGTCTGTCTTTGTCTTTCTGGCAAAAAAAAAAAAAAAAAAAAAAAACTTTTAAAAAAGAAAAGAGAACGATAAGGCATTTAAAGAATGTAGCAAACTGTCAGGAAAACAGCACTGAGTGAATGTTCATTGTCTTCTTGCATGCAAAGGTTTACCTAAAATGTTTAATGATAAATTTTGAAGAAAATATAGGTAGATGTTTAGCTTTGCAGGCACAAAGACAAAGAATAAGCCATAAAAATATTCATTATTTAGACCCAATTTGCAAAGATTGAACTTCTGTATATCTCCAAGCATCATAATCAAATATAAAAGGCAAAACAAGCTGGAGGGGCGGGGAAGAAAATGACATGATGTTGATATTCTTAGTGTTTAAAAACTGTTTTAGAAGTCTTCATAAAAGAGGGGCTGGCAGGTGGAGTGGTGATTAAGGACTCCTACCCTAGTTTGAGTCCCAGACCTGGCAGCCTGCTTTCTCACTTTACTTTTCTCTCTCTCTGGTCAAATTAACAATAATAATAATAATAATGAAATAAATAATTATTTAATAAAATGAAATTTTCACAAAAGAAAAATACCCAGCCTTGTGAGGAAAAATATAAGCCTTCTTTCCACAAAAACACAAATATACTATTTATTTTGAAGAAGAAATAAAGTTAGCCATAGTTATTTGGAAAATATTGAGTCTCATCAGTAATCAAAGAAATGTAAACTTAATAAATAAAAATACTGGGACCAGCAGGTGACATGGTGGTTAAAGTACTGGACTCCCACATGGCCAACTGCAGTTTAAGCCTTAGACCTGGAGGCTTGAAATCATGCCAGGTGTGTGTATGCTTATGTGCCGAAAATCCCCGGAAGAGAGGGCAATGCAGTATGGCCATCCCCCCAGGGGTTGATTTCTCAGTTTCCCCCTCTCTGTCTCTCTCCCCACCTCTCTCTCTCCAGCAAGCGCACTTGCCCTATGGCAGAAACCTAAAAAAAAAAAAAAAAAACGGTTTTTAGCTTTAAATGAAACCTAAAAAAAAAAAAAAAAAAAGAGGTTTTTAGCTTTAATGTCAGAATTTACAAAAAAAAAAAGAGGTTTTTAGCTTTAATGTCAGAATTTACACTAGCATGTTCTTTGTATTCTAAGGTTGGAATACATACCAAGGCTTGGTTTATCGCTGGAATCTTCTTGCTGTTGACGATACCTGTATCGCTGTGGGTGATCCTACAACACTTGGTACATTACACACAACCAGAACTGCAAAAACCAATAATAAGGTAAATGTTAAGACAGTTTGATTCTACTAGTGTTGTGTGGACTTCTTTTATAAATGTGATATAAAATGTTTTCAATTTGTTTTGCTTTCCAAATAGGATTCTTTGGATGGTACCCATATACAGTTTAGATAGTGTAAGTATGTTTCCTTTTCCTTAAGTAACAATGTGTATGATTATACTACCCATTCCTACCGTAATGCTAAACATAATGAAAGTATATTGTTGACAATAAGGAGTTAGATGGATAAGTAAAATGGTTTACTTGTTTTTAATGTTGATAGAGTATAATAGAAAATGGAAATTGTGTGGCAACAGCAGGTGGCGTGGTGGTTAAGGTGCTGGACACTCCCACGTGGCTGACCACAGTTCGAGTCCTGGACCTAGCAGCTTGCTTTCTCACTCTTTCTCTGTCTCTCTCTGGTCAAATTAAAATAAATGAATGAATAAATAAAATTAAATAAATAATTATATTTAAAAAAGAAAACTGGAAATTGTGGATATTTTACAATTTTTTAAATCTCTAGCTATGTTTTTTCCCTTAATCATTTGAAGTTTCAGATCATAGCTCTTAGTCCTTTACATAATAATATTTAAATTATCACTCTTTAATTACTTTATTTTTATTATGAGAGAGAGAAGAAAAGGAAGACGGACAGAGAGAGGTATTTTTGACAGGGTCTTACTGTCTTATGACCTTCCTGTCCCAGCTTCCCAATTATCTAAGATTACAAATACATACAGCCATGCCCAGAATATTGTGGTTGGTGCAGGAACTGAACTCATGCCTGCCATGCTGTTTCCAGCCTCACAAGGGGTGGCATCACCTGTGTGCACTGTAGCTGGACTCTATGTATGTATGTGTGAATGTATTGAGTCTGGGCACTTGTACACGCCGGGCGGGCAGTGAGAAAGCACTGTAATCCTTCTCCACTTCTCCCTCCTTTCGAGATTCTGGGCACATACACACCCGTGCCAGGCATGTTTCACAAGCTACCAGTTCTGGGACTCAAACTGCATGATTGACCATAGGATTCACTGCCTTACCCACTCGAGATTCTGGGCACATACACACCCGTGCCAGGCATGTTTCACAAGCTACCAGTTCTGGGGCTCGAACTGCATGATTGACCATAGGATCACTGCCTTACCCACCATAGCACACGCTGGCCCAAGTCTTCTGTCTAGATTGAAAAAAAAAAAAATTTTTTTTTTCTCACTGGATATACATGCAGTTGTTATAAATGACTGCTTTAATTTGAATAGCACACGCTGGCTCAAGTCTTCTGTCTAGATTGAAAAAAAAAAAAATTTTTTTTTTCTCACTGGATATACATGCAGTTGTTATAAATGACTGCTTTAATTTGAATGTCTTCATGGACATGTTCTGTGATCACATTAATAGCAGTTTCAGATTAGGCCCAGCTACAGTAGTGTGGGCAGGTAGGGGGCTGCCGTGGGATGCTAGACGCCATCTGGGCAGGCTCTGGGTTCTCACCCCCAGTTCACCTCCACGTGCTGGGCGTGGCCTCAGCCTCGCTGGCTGCTGGACGGGGGGAAGATCACAGTGAAAAGATGCTGTCAAGAGTGCTGCCTCTGTCTTTCTCTCTTGGGAAATAAATACACTTTTAAAAATCAGATTATATTTAAGAATTCGAGTACGTAATTTAGCTTCTTTCTTCGTATTCATTATTTACCCCCAAATATGTCAATCTTTTTACTTACCAATATCCTAGAAGTGTATTGCCCTAAAAAAATCCTTTCGTGAATTGTCTGGTAGCCATCTTGATGCTATGATGTAAGTATGTGACATGCCATCATCCATTTAAACATGGGAGTGATAGTCCTTCTCACTTTAGCTGTAACTATGTTCAATCTCTGTGTTTTTTCATAGTGGGTAGCTTTGAAATATCCCAGCATTGCAATATATGTGGATACCTGCAGAGAATGCTATGAAGCCTATGTCATTTACAACTTTATGGTATTTCTTACCAATTATCTAACTAACCGGTATCCAAATCTGGTGTTAATCCTTGAAGCCAAAGACCAGCAGAAACATTTCCCTCCTCTATGTTGCTGTCCACCATGGGCTATGGGAGAGTAAGTATGTTTGGTAATTGTTTTATGTTTTAGTTTTATTTAAGTAGAGTTTTCAAGTATAGTCAGCTCTCTGCAAGGTGCTGCGTTAAGTACTATGAACAGGACAAAGAGTATAAGACAGATTTCTTACCCTGATGTAGTTCACAGTCACATTTGAAGGCTAATAACCACATAGGTATAATCCACATGTATGTCAGTCTTTCTTACAGTATACTTCCCAAATAGGAACATTAAATAAAGTATTTCAGGGAGATGGCACATCATATAGGCACTGTACGGAGAACCCAGATCCCACGTGGCCAACTGCAGTTTGAATCCTGGCCCCAGGAGCTTCAGGCTGGGCTTGTGCATGTGTGACGAGGATCCTGGTAGGATAGAAACCTGGAGGGAAGAGGTCTGTAACATGACTAGACCCCTTTGGAGGGTGCATTCTCTCCCTCCCTCTGTCTCTGTTTTGTATGTATGCACATGCTATCTATCAATAAGTGCTGTTAAACCTGCATTTAAAATCTGTTGATTGCATAGCCATCTTCATCAGTGATCTTAGCTACAGCTTCTCAATAACTTGCTGCAGTTTCTACATCAGCACTTGTTGCTTCACCTTGCATTTTTATGCGATGGAGATGACTTTTCTTTTTTTTTTAAACTTCATTTTTTTTTTTTAGAGGTTTTTGCTATAGGATGCGTGTGCTTGCCAGAAAAACAGAGAGAGACAGAGAGACAGAAAGCTAGAAATCACCTCCCCAGGGGGGATGGCCACACTGCCATCCCTTCTCCTCCATTCTCCTCTCAGGATCTTAGACATGCACGCTCTAGCGCCTGGTGTGAGTTTAAGCCACCGGGTCTGGGACTCAAACCACAGTTGACTACATGGGAGTCCAATGATGTAGCCATTACGCCATCTGCTGATTCCAGCTTCTTTTCTTAAACTTCATAAGTCAGTCTCTGTTTCTGACTTTTCTTCTACAACTTCCTCACCTCTCTCAGCCTTCACAGAATTGAAGAGAGTTAGGGCTTTCCTCTGGTTTAGGATTTGTCTTAAAGGAATATTGTGGTTGGTTTGACCCTCCATTAAGACCATCAAACCTACCTCCATATCAGCAGTAAGGCTGTTTCACTTATCATTCTTGTATTCACTGGACAGCAGTTTTTGTTTCCTTTAAGACCTTTTCACTCATATTCACAACTTCACTATTCGGTGCGAGGGCCCTAGTTTTCAGCCTGTCTTGGCTTAAAACCTTCCTTCCTTGCTAAGCTTAATCATTTCTAGTTTTTTTCCTTTGTGTCTGGTTTTTGTTTTTTGTTTTTTTGTTTTGTTTTGTTTTGTTTTGTTTGATTTTGCTAGAGGGCCCATGTGCTTGCTACAGAGAGACAGAGAAACAAAGCGAGAAGGTACCCCTCATGGGGAACAGTCACACTGCAGTCCTTTCTTCATTTCACCCTCCCATCAGCATTTTCCATATCACGAGAAGAGATTGTATATCTTGAAACATTGAACCTGAACTTTCTTTTGTGAGAGAATAATTATAGAATTGTTTATACTTCTATTTTTAAATTTTTTTTCTGGAATCATTTTTAGAAAATACAGTTTTTAGGAGTTAGGCATAATAGATACATATTTTTATTATATGAACATACATTAATTTGTATCTTTTTTATAATAATTCTGTAATATTATTTATTTATATATTTACATTTGACCAGAGAGGGAAAGTGAGAAAGCAAGCCACCAGGTCCAGGACTCAAACCACAGTCAGCCATGTGGGAGTCCAGCACCTTAACTACCATGCCACCTGCTAGCCCCAATTTATATCTTCTTAATCTCTTGTGAATGTGTCCTTTTGACCTGTCTTCCATTTCTTCTTTCTTTCTTTTTTTTTTTTTTTTTTATTTTTTTGGCCATAGGATGCATGCACTTGCTGAAGAGAGTCAGAGAGAGGGACCAGTGGGTGGTATGGTGGTTGGGGCGTTGGACTACCATGTGGTCGACCACAGTTTGAATTTGGACCCAGCTGCTTAAAACTCATGCTGGGTAAGTGCATGCATGCCCAAATTCCTGAGAGGAAAATGGAGGAGAAGGGATTACGGCATGGCCGTCCCCCTGGGGGGGGATTTCTTGCTTTCCATCTCTCTTTTTCTCCGATGAGCACACATGCCCTGTAGCAAAAATCTCTCAAATAACAAGAGACAGAGAGATAGGGAAAGTGAGAAATCACCCGGGGGTGCAAAGAAAGTTAATTGAGTCAAGCTGAGAATACACTCCACAGGCAGAGGGGATTATTCTACAGGAAAAGATGGCCTTCAGTGCCTTTAGGGGTCTCCCTCATGAGAGAGGTACATGCATACTCATCAAGAGGGGTAGATTTTTAGGGGTCACAGGTGGTCTTGAGGACTTCTGTAAAAGGGCACTCTCTTGTGTGCTTGCTTTCTAGCTAAACATGCTTGAACATAGGATGTATATATTATTAACATCCAAGATCTCATTCCAGGGTGTGTTTCCTACCATGCTAATGAGGCAAAGGTTTCCTACAAGTCATCTGTGGCACTCGTGGACACGTGTGATCATGAGACTGCTACAGATAGGTTAGAGGTTCCTTTTCCCTGTGAACTTTGGTATTGAAGTTGGTTGGGTTTCTTTTTTCCATAAGTCTTTTGTCTTACTATCCTTTTTCGTGAAGTTTTATTCTCAGGGTTGGCCTGGTTTTTGTCTCCCACTTATCCCCCCTTCAGAGACTTCCATCCCTAAAACTTTATGGCTGTTGAGAGATGACGTGTGATTTTGGAACTGTTTCCTGCTGGTCAGGGGTACAGTCCCTGTCTAGCCGGGGTACAGAAGTTTTTGTCTGTCTGGTCTAAGGGATGGGGTGAGATGGAGTCTGGTGATCTCTCTCTGAGTCGTGAATGGGTTGAAAGTCTTGTAACATCATTATTTTAACATGGAACTGTTGTAACCTAGACAAGACAAATTTTACCAGTAGATTAAACACATAAGAACATTAACAGTTATAACAATAAAAACAACAAACACTAGCAGAATAAGCATAAGGACTCCACATATAAAGAAGGCACATTTTTTTTTTTAGGCTGAGGGAAGAGAATTTAACCATTTCCTGAAGGAGTTATGAGATAAAGCACCTTTTGTATGCACATGGACATTAAGTTTACAAACCAAATCTGGTCTCAACAAAGGGACTGAACACTCTGGCATGTACAGATATCTAGATGGCATTTCAGAGATTCAAGAAATGGCATTTCACAGATTAAAGTAGTAACAAGGGAGGAAGCCTGGAGGACGTGGCTCTCAGGCTAAGTCCCTTCAGAGTCCATTGTTCTTAAACCTGTCAGGAACCTGTATTTAAGAACACTCATTAGAGTCTTTTATGGGAAGTTGCTTCAGAACTATGGATAAGAGAAACTTAAAATAGTCATGATTAATAACTTGATGACATTTCATTACAATGATGTCACTGATTAAAAGAATTCTGTCAGGAGCCAATAGGTGCTGGACTTCTACATGGCCAACTCCTCCCTGAGTCCTGGACCTGGCAGCTTTCTTTCTTTTCTTTTTTTTTCTTTTTTTTTTTTTTTTGAGAGGTTTTCTCTACAGGGTGCGTGTGCTCGCCAGACAGACAGAGAGAGACATAGAGACAGAAAGCAAGAAATCACCCCCCAGGGGGGATGGTCACGCCGCAATCCCTTCTCCTCCACTCTCCTCTCGGGATCCTGGGAACACACGCACACGCGCCCGGTGTGAGTTTTAAGCCACCAGGTCCGGGACGCGAACTGCGGTCGAGTACGTGGGAGTCTAGCGACATAGCCATTATGCTAACTGCTGGTTCCCGCAGCTTGTTTTCTCACTTTCCCTCTCTCCCTCTCTGTCTCTTTCTGGTGACTATAGCACATGTTTAAAAAAAATACTGATAAATAAAACTAAGTAAATGATTCTTTAAAAAAAAAATAAGAAAATTCAGTCATTCATATTGCATATATTACTTAAAGATTACCAGAATTTGACTAATGGCATTATATGAATGCTAGCAAAATTCTAAAAATTGTACATGATCTTATAAATGCATATCTATAAACATATTTATGTAAATATAACTTCAAAGGAAATTGAGCATTACTTTAGTAATGAAAATACTTTTTTTATAGGTATTTTTTAAAATCTATTATTTTATTTAACTTTATTTATTATTATTTTCCAGTTTGATCAGAGAGAGACAGAGAAAGAGAGAGAGGGAAAGTGAAAAAGGAAGCCACCAGGTCCAGGACTTGAACCATGGTCAGCCATGTGGGAGTCCAGCACCTTTATCACCACACCACCTGCCAGCCCCAGTAATGAAAATACTTTTGTATTAATTGATATATTAGATAAGCATCTACAAAATAATATATACTTTTTAAGCTTTTTTAGGGGCCCAAAGTCATATTTTATGTCAAAAATACTTAATTTAGAATTTGATCTTGACAAAATCCATCAAAGATGTCAGAAAACATACAACATGTGATCAAAGCAGGATCAAAAGTCATCAAATAACAATGGTTAACCAAAGTGGTAATGAAAAGAATTTAATATTAAACGTAGAAAATAATATAGATAAAAAGTTTTACTTTTTTTCATTTTTTTAGTTTTGCTATAGGACATGTGCACACACCAAAGAGAGATGAGCAGGCTGTGGTTGGGGAGTAAGAAATAACCCCCCCAGTGGGGATGGCCACACCACTATCCCTTCTCCAGTCTCCTCTCAGAATTTTAGACAAATACACACATACACACACACACATACACACACACACACCCAGCATGAATTTCAAGCCACTGGGCCCAAGACTCGAGCTATGTAGTCAGCCATGTGGCATCCAGCAGGCTTAATCTTCATGCCAGCTGCTTACCCATTTTTTTTTCTTTTTTTACATATTTAAAGTTGACTTTTGTCAAAGATTTATTTAAATCAGTGAACTTGAAAAGCATTTGGACTAATCTGTATGAGTGCTCTTATTTATAAGCCAACTTGAATAGACTTTCTTAAGACCTTTGCTATATAGACACAACATACAATTTGTACACATGTACAAACACATGTAAGTAAGCACATATAAAAGGGGTCTATGCAATGTTCATGGAGTATGTGCACTATGGAAAAAACACGTATGGATTTTTTAAATTCCTGCCCTAAAATGAACTCACACTTTGACATTTCTTATGAACACCTCCGAACACCCTATACATAGAAATACAAGCAAAAACTACCTTACAACTTTATTGTAGTTCAGTTTTTTAAAAACCTCTTTAAACTTTTATTTATTTATTTATTTATTTATTTGCTTCAACTCGGTTGAGTAGTTAACTCTGAAATGTTTACCTACGTAGAACTGGCTAACCCTGAATAAGAAAAATAAAATCTTCAAGCAGCCCTGAATTTTTTTTCTTTTATCTTAAAATTATAAGTGACTAAAAAGAAAAAAAAAAAATCACCAGATTTAAAGTAGGCAAAGAGAAAAACAGAGAAGCTTCTGAATTTACCAAGGAGGATATGAGTTGGCCACAGGATTATAGCTGTATGTAGGACGTTCCGCAAATATCTGTTCCTGTGGATTAGAAGACATCACAGGAAGTAAGTCTTTAGGGATGGTGTGTACATTAAGCATTTTAAGTCTGGGCAGGAGGCATCAGCTGAAAGTTGGGTTCTCTAACTTCAAAACTATTGAGGGGACTCCACTGGTATTACCCATAGTGATTAGTCCACATGGGAAACCTGGCAAGAAAGCATCTTTTGTCACCTATGGGGGAGGTCAGCAGGTTCCATCGTGGTTAAGGTGTTGGACTCCCACGTGACTGACCACAGTTTGAGTCCCAGACCTGACATCTTGCAAATCATACTGGGTATATGTACATGCAAGCCCAAAATCCTAGGAAGAGAATGGAGAAGAGATTGATTGCAGCATGGCCATGCCCCCTGGGGGGTGACTTCTCACCTTCTCACTGTATCTCTGGCAAGCACACATACCCTATAGCAAAAATCAGTAGTTTAAAAAAATAAGAAAAAAAAAGAAAAAAAAAAGGTACGAAATCAGTAGTTTAAAAAAATAAGAAAAAAAAGAAAAAAAAAAGCACTGTCATCTATTGAACTATTCTGCATAAGAGGCAACCAAAACCCATAGAATATTTAAGCCCAAAAGGAAGAATCCGTTCTCTACCTCAGAGAGGTGGAGAGCATTAGGAAAGCTGATGTCCCACCCTCTGTTTCTTCCTAAGTGGATTTGGGCATCCCCAAATGTGCAGGCATTAGCACCCAAGCATCTTTGTGGTTGTCAAGTATTCAGGTCTTTTTGAAACTCCAGGCTCTCGGGGGTACCTCCTGAGGCCGACTGGTGAATACAAGTCTCTCTAGCATGTCTTAGTATGTTATCTGTGCCTTCAAATAATGCCTTTTTTTTATTTTTGGTTGGGCTATTTGCTAGGAGGGGTCTGGCAAAGTTTTGCTATTTCCAGAGGTTTTCTCTGAGTATCGATAATCAGCTCTTTTGACAAGTTCAAGAACAAGGAGGGAGTGGAAAAGCATGAAAGGCAAGATCTACAGAAAGAGCCTCAAGCCCGTAGGAGGCAAGACTCAGTTTACCTCACTTAGGTCCTGCCAGTCATCTCTCAGGTTCTTGACTTCATCGCACAAAAGAACTGAAGCATGAGTGAGACAGCAAAGCAAAGTTTATTAAGGAAGGTGAGAAGACACTTCACAGGCAGAGGGGAATGTTCTGTAGGAGGACACAGCCCTGAGTGTCTTGGGGAATCTCCCTATATGGGAAACTTACATGCATATTCATAGTGATGGGATGTTCAAGGCTTAGGGGCGGTCCCAAGTGCCCCTGCAAGGATGCCCACTAGTCTGCATGCTCTCTCTCTCTCTTTTTTTTTTTTAAGAATCATTGTATTTAACTTTATTTATTTATTTTGCTTTGACCAGAGAGTGAAAGAGAGAGAGAAGGAAAGTGAGAAAGCAAGCTACCAGGTCCAGGACTTGAATCGCAGTCAGCCATGTGGGAGTCCAGCACCCTTAACCACCCTGCCACTTGCTGGCCCTATACATGCTCTCTAACTGAACATGCTTGAAGGTAGGATGTATGAGTTATTAGCATCCAAGATCTGTTCCCGGGGTGTTTCTTAGCTTCCTAATGAAGCAATTTACGATAGGTCACCTGTAGTGATAGTGGCTATGCATGGCCATGGGTTACCGTGTGTGATCATGAAACCATTACAAATAGTAGTGAATAGGATCTTTATACTTTCCTTTTTTGCTCAAGTTTCTTGTTTTGTTTTTGTTTCTGTTTCTCTTGAGAGAGAGATTTTTGTTATAGGGCCCAAGTGCTCTTTGGAGAGACAGAGAGACAGAATGCTAAAAATCCCCCTTCCCCACAGGAGGGATGGCCACACCACAATCCCTTCCTCCATTCTCCTCTCAGGATTTTGGGCACATACACGCACACACCTGGTGTGAGTTGTAAGCCACTGGGTCCAGGACTTGAATCGCAGTCAAGTGGGAGTCCAGCTATATAACCATCACGCCATCTGCTAGTCCCATGTTTTAGGTTTGTTTTTGTTTTAATTGGGCTTGGCCTGGTTTCTGCTTTTTCCCCTTTGTCTTTTGTCTTCATTTCATTTTTTGTGAAGTTTTCTTCTTAGGGTTGGCCTTGTTTTCATCTTCCACTTCTTACTCCCTGTCTTGATACTTTCAAAATGTACGGTCTCATACACTAACATACACACACAAACACACACACATATACACACACACACACACAAATTAATTTGTTACTCAGTTTTTCTTCCAGAAATACACAAAGGACCCATTTCTGTTCTTTATGTTCTGTGCTGCATTTATATAGGAACTTGAGACTACACAAAACAAGAGATCTTTCAGAAGATAGTTGTTGGGGCCAGCAGGTGGCCTGGTGGTTAATGGCCGCTGGACTCCCATGCGGCTGACCATGGTTCAAGTCCCAGACCTGGCAGCTTGCTTTCTCACCCCCGTCCCCCATTCTGTCCCTCTCTGGTCAAATTAAAATAAATAGATAGATACAGAGATAGATAGATACATATATATATATATATACATACATAGAAAGAAAATAATTCTTTAAAAAAAGAAGATACTTGTCAAATCATTTTGAAAATAGTCTTTAGAAAATTTGCTACCATTTGCATTCTTACCCTGCCACCATTTAGGATGACTCTGAAAGAATTAAATATGAACTGTGGTATCAACTGTCTTAACTGAATTTAGTTTAGAAGCTTCGGGGACTATCCCATTCTATTTAAATAATTAAAACATGGTAAGTTCCCTTTCTTTTGCAGAGTGTTGCTGTTTAGGTGCAAATTGGGTGTTTTGCAGTATACAGTTGTTAGACCATTCACCACCATCGTTGCTTTGTAAGTATACAGATTTTACATTGTCGTTTACTTTTCAAAATGCCTGTGCTCTCAGCTATATGGGAACAACTGAGTAAAAATACATAAAAGTGCTAATGTACTTGTTATATATAATACAGGTCTAGTCTGCTGTAAAAGCCACAGTACATAAAAGGTCTACTCTGTTAAAATAAATAACGTGACTATTTATAGGCAAAAATTCACCACAGGATTCTTCTAGATATTTATACTCTTTCTCGAGCTTGCCGTAAAAAACTCTGAAAAAAATGCTTTCTTTTTTAAATGTTAATGTTTGTCCCTCTTTACAGAAATTCTATTGCATGAAGTTAATGTATGTTCTTTAAGTGAATTACAGTTTTATTTTCTACATAGGTGATTTAGAATATACTGGGAGTATTTTACTCCAAGAAAGAAGTCATTTTTCTTTAAAGCATTCTGCCCCAGCCTAGAATTTGAGGTAAAATAGGGGATCATTAAACTAACTGATAAAACCATTCTCTAAACATTCAAGAACATCAAATAATTTAAAGCAGGTAGTTTGCATGTTTTCTCTTCCAGTCATTACTAAAATTCTGTATGTTCACAGGAAAAAAACTGAAAGACAGGTAAAAAAAAAGTCTTTATTCTGTCTTTGAGTTTGCATTAAGCCAATTAAGACTTATTTATTTGTTATTTGAGTTTTATTTCCCTGAAGTTTAGAAATTGGATAAGCATATAACAATACCGATATAGTATATACTCGAGAGGATCAGGATCTTTGTACCTTTAATACAATTTTTGGGGGGAAATTGCACCTCCAGTTATAGACTGACCTTTATTATAGGTTTAACAGTCAAATTTTTTTTCTTTTTCTTTGGAGAGGTTTTCACTATAGGGCACGTGCACTCGCCAGAAAGACAGAGAGACAGACAGAAAGCAAGAAATCACCCACCAGGGGGGATGGTCACACCGCAATCTCTTCTCCTCTATTCTCCTCTTGGGATCTTGGGCACACACGCACACATGCCCAGTGTGAGTTTAACCACCGGGTCCGGGACTTGAACCACGGTCGACCACATGGGAGTCCAGCGACATAGCCATTATGCTAACTGGTGGTCCCACAGTCAAACTTTTCAGAACTATGCAGCACAGGTTTTTTTTTTTTTAATGTTGTAATTGTACTTTCTATAATAGTTATTGTATCTTTTTTTTTTTTTTTTTAAGATTTTTGACACAGGGCACAGGCACTCACCAGGGAGAGACAGAAAGAGGGAAAGTGAGAAAGGAGAAAGCATCTCCCAGGAGATGGCACGCAGCAATCCCTTCTCCATTCTCCTCGGGATGCTGGGCATGCACGCACGCACATGTTCCCAGTGTGATTTTCAAGCTGCCAAGTCCAGGACTTGAACTGTGGTCAGCCATTTGGCAGTCTAGTCCCTTCACCACCACACTATTGCTGGCCCCATTAGTGAATATGTCTTAATTTGTATTTCCTTCAGGTTGGAGAAAGAATGGTATGGTCACATTGATAGAAAAACGTTTTTCTTTTCCTTTTAAAACCACCTTTCTGTCCAAAGTCAAGTAATTCCCTATAGGATCTTTCAAATAAACCAAATTCTGTATTTAAGTATTGCTATCACTGTATTTTTTAATGTGCTAGAGGGCACACGTGCTCAGCAGAGAGACAGACAGTGGGAAAGTGCAAAAGCCCCTTCCCCCCAGGGTGACCATGTTGCAATCCCTTCTCCTCCATTCTCTCAGGATTTTGGACACGTATGCACACGTGCCTGGTATTTCTCAAGCCACTAGTACTTGAACCACACAGTCAGCCATAGGAGATCCAGCCCACTTAATCACCTTGCCACCCGGCTGGCCCACTAGCGTTGTATTTAAAATACACTATGATGTACTCATGAAGTTATCTCGTTTTTACCATTTTGTAGAATCTGTGAGCTACTTGGTATATATGATGAAGGGAACTTCAGCTTTTCAAATGCTTGGACTTACTTGGTTATAATAAACAATATGTCGCAATTGGTGAGTAACTACTCATTTTTCTTAATTGTAATAAATTAGTGTCTGTAAGTGGATTTTCTTCTTGGAATAAAGATTGTTTCTATTTTGATCTTGAAGTTTAATTATAGGAAGAACATGAAAAAAACTTGAATTTACTTTTACATACATATATAAAAATAAATCTGCTGATTATTTGGGGACTTATACCCTGACCTGCTGATCTTGTTTGTTCATTTATGTATTACTCATTGCATATCTGTACATATAAAATCTATTTTGATAACAAAAGGCTGGAAATGATCCAAAGCCTGATGACAGAAACTGGTTAAATATACTATGGTTTTCCCATTGACTAAACTTTTAAGCAGTTATTAAAAATAATTCCAATGAGTGAAAATAAATATTAGGCAACAAAATTTTACATTTAGTTCATGACAACTGTTAAAAGCCAGCTTTTGTGTAGAAAGGAATGGCTGGATGATTAGGCTATGAATAACTTTATTTCTTTACTACTTTGATATTTAAAATATTTTAAAGGAGCATTTTATATCATTTTAATTTCATATACTTCAGGGAAATGTCTGTTGCTATTCAACCCATCACCATCCTGGGCATGCATATGCATGAATACCCAGCATGCTTTCAAGCCACTAAGGCTATGACTCAAACTCTGGACAGCCATGTGAGATCCAGGTCCTCTGCACAGTACTTAACAGCTGAAATATAGGCTGGCTCTTGAGCATTTATTTTAAAAAGTAAATTCAAGGGACCAGCAGTTAGCATAATGGCTATGTCGCTGGACTCCCACGTAGTCGACTACAGTTCGCGTCCCGGACCCGGTGGCTTAAACTCAACGCCGGGCGCGTGGGCATACGTGCCCAAGATCCTGAGAGGAAAATGGAGGAGAAGGGATTGCGGCATGGCCATCCCCCCTGGAGGGGGTGGGGGGCTGATTTCTCGCTTTCTATCTCTGTCTGTCTCTGTCTGTCTGGCAAGTGCACGCGCCCTATAGCAAAAACCTCTCAAAAAAAAAAAAAAGTAAACTCAAATGAGTTTATATATTGCCCCCAAGAAAAATTGTTTCCCTTATTCTTTCATATTTCCTGGTCACAATTTTATTGAAATAGTACTTAATGGGTTGGTTTATAAATAATATATATGATGTCACATTAAATAGACTAGATAGTAAATCCTTATACAAATAGTGGTAAATTTGTGTTTAAAAGCCATTAGAAGGCCAGTCCCTGACCTGGCAGTTACGGAGGCTGGGTCCAACATGGCCAACAATGCAAATTGAGTCCCGATCCCAATGGCCTGAGAAATAATCCAGGAATGTGTGCATGGGTGCCTAAAATTCCGAGAAGGGAGAAATAGAGAGGAGGTTACAGGAGGGGATTGTAGTGTGATCATGCAAAATGGTTTTCCCCTTGCTTTTCCCCCCCTCTTGTGTCACTCCAGCAAGTGCACTTACAGATAGATAATGTTAGATTTTTGAGGAGGAGAGGGAAGGAGAGCCTTGATTTTTTAATTATAATTTTTTTAAGAGAGATTTTTGCTATAGGGCACATGAGCTCCCTGGAGAGACAGAGAGACAAAGTGAGAAATCACCCCCTGGGGGAGGACCACACCACAATCCCTTCTCCATTCTCCTCTCAAGATCTTGGGTATGCGTGCACACACAGCAGCATGAGTTTTGAGCCTCTGAGTCTAGGACTCAAACTGCCTTTGACTATGTGGAATTCCAGCAATGGTAACCATTATGCCATCTGCTGGTCCCGGTTTTTTTAATTATAATTTTTTTAGGAGAGGCTTTTGCTATAGGGCATGTGCATTTGCGAGAGACAGAGAGAGAGTCAGGAAGTGAGAAATCACCCTCTAGGGGTATGGCCATTCTGCAATCCCTTCTCCTCCATTCTCCTCTTGGGATTTTGGGTATACATACACATGCACCTGGTGCGAGCCTCAAACTGCCAGCTCTGGGGCTCGAACTGCAGTTAACTAAGTGGGAATCCACTAATATAACCATTTTACCATTTGCTGATCTCTTAATTATCATTTTAATTTATCTATAATAATACATATTTATGGGGTCCACTGTGGTTTTTCATACATATATAGTGTGTAATGATCAAAAAAGAGTGAGAAACTTACCCACTACCTCACACGTTTGATAAATGTTTTTTATTTTGGTTGACCAAGAGCCTTTTCTTCCATTCATGTGAATCAGTTGTTTTTTGTTCTCTTTATGGATTCTACTAAGTGAACACTTAAAAACATTTTCAGGGAAGACATATCCATCTACAGTAAACTGTAAGCTTGTTGTTAAAATAGAATAATAAAGCCTAGGAAAATGTGCCTACTTTATCCTGTACCAGTTCTCTGGTTTATAACTTTACTGTTCCCATACTCACCTGTTCTTACTGAAGAAATTGAAATGTTAATCTCGTTTCTAGTTTGCCATGTATTGTCTCCTGCTATTTTATAAAGTACTCAAGGAAGAACTGAGTCCAATCCAACCTGTTGGCAAATTTCTTTGCGTAAAGCTGGTGGTTTTTGTTTCTTTTTGGTAAGTGTTGCTTTCTCTTAAACGTTCTCATTTTCTAAAGGGCAATAACATTATTGTCTAAGGATAATATTTTTAAACAGTCTTCATGGAGAAGGTGGCTTAAAATATCTCTATTTCCCTCTAAAAAAAAACTTACCCCTTTAGCCCTCCTAGGTTGTATTTTTTTTTGTTGTTAAAGAAATGATCAGATGGTCACTATAAAACTTGTAAGAAGAAAATAATGTCAGACAGCCTAAATATCTCAATGTTCAAAGAAGCATTAAATAAATCAGGGTGCTAGCATATAAAAGAATACTATGCAGTTAAAAAAACATTATGTAGAATATTTAATGACGTGTGGGATATTCGTCAGTAATTTTTTTTTTTTGAGAGGTTTTTCTTACAGGGCGCATGTGCTTGCTAGAAAGACAGACAGAAAGGGGACCAGCAGTTGGCATAATGGCTATGTCACTGGACTCCCACGTAGTCGACCGTGGTTCAAGTCCCGGACCCGGTGGCTTAAACTCATGCTGGGCACGTGTGCGTGTGTGCCCAAGATCCCGAGAGGAGAATAGAGGAGAAGGGATTGCAGCATGGCCATCCCCCCTGGGGGGTGATTTCTTGCTTTCTATCTCTCTCTCTCTGTCTGTCTGGTGAGCACACGCGCCCTATAGCAAAAACCC